GAACAAGAAGAGGCTGGCACATCCCTGGCCTGCTGGCATCAGCTCTGTCTTGCTGCTGGCATCAGTTCATCCTTGTGCCTGTCCAAACGGAGAGGGAACATTAAGTCCTTGATCTGCCGGGCTTTTCCTCTCCCCTCCTGTGCTTGTGTTAGAAGGACGTAGGCCAGGATGAGGAAACTTCAAGTAGCAAAACAAGATAGCATTAGAAACAGGAGTTCCGAGAGCAAACACTGTTCTACGTATCTGGGAATCAGTTTTTGCTCTAGGAATTACCCACCACGGCATCTCTACTGCCCCCCCAAGCACCTCAGTCAAGCAGGGCACCTCCCATGACCAGGAGTGGGAGGGCTGAGTAAATCCAGCAGGGCAGTGGGACAAACACCTTCTGCCAGGCCCCTGATGATGCCCCAGAAACATGACCCTGTCTCCCTGTGCTCAGGTGTTCATATTCGGCCCTGATAAGAAGCTGAAACTCTCCATTCTGTACCCAGCCACCACTGGGAGAAATTTTGATGAGATCCTGAGAGTGGTGGACTCCCTGCAGCTGACAGCATACAAGAAGGTTGCTACCCCTGTGGACTGGAAGGTGAGAAGGGAAGCAGAACTTGTGTGCAGGGGAGGTAAAGGTGCATTAAACATCTAACTGCTTCCTTTGGGAGTGATCCAGGGGTAGGGGGAGCTGCTGCAGTCCAGTTGTATGAATTGGATGCTAAACGAGAGCCCCAAGGGAATTGCTGTGTGGCATCACACAGAGATCTCCCTTCCCTTCCTTCAGTTTTAGGTACCTGCAGATATAGGGCCTGGCCCTTCTGGCTATCAGCATGTGAGCTCTGGGCCAATATGGGTCTTGCCCTTGGAGGGCAAGATAAGGAAGAGCATTGCTGATGTCAGCTGCCAGGCCAAGGTCCACTCAGAGCCAGAAAAACAGCTGGTATGAGCACCCCTCCCTAGATGGCTTGCTGCTCTGCTCCCTTTGAGCAAAGAATGGCTGGAATGGGCACAGCCCTCACTGCATCCTAGCCTTGCGGAAAATTACCAGATGAAGTTCCCTAGTTGCTGTCATCCCTATGCAGCAGCATTATTTCAAATTCCCAAGAATTTGTTCAGGCAACCAAGCCAAAGCAAGAATAAGCAGTGCAGTCTGCCTGCTTGAGCTAGCTAGCATTTTCCTTGGACCCCCAGCACTGCTTTTGGATCTACACTGCTGGCTTTGGTAGCTGTCACCAAACAAACCTGCCTGTCTGTAGTCAGGAGGGACATTCCTGCTGAGACAGGTGTCCCAGAAAAGGTGATCGTGGAGTATTTCTACAGGTACAGCAAGGAGAGCATGGAGGCAGCTTTGTCTCCAACAACCCCAGCCTCCAGCCATGGTTTGGGGTGTGCTCACCCCCTGTGCCATCCAGGGCAGCACAGCTGGCTCACCAGAGGGGACCAGCACTACCTGCACATTGGCACTCAGGCTTTAGGATGGAGGAGCAGAGCGTGTGCCCTGCTGCAGTGCAGAGATCCTGTGCTGTGCAGCTGACCAGCATCCCTGCTGCTCTCACAATTCCCATTTGCTCCTTAGTGTGGTGACAGTGTCATGGTTGTGCCCACCTTACCTGATGAAGAAGCCAAGAAGCTTTTCCCCAAAGGAGTCTTCACGAAGGATCTCCCATCAGGCAAGAAGTACCTGCGTTACACCCCACAGCCCGAGTGAGCAGCTCTGCCCACCCATGCTGCTGGGCACAGTCCTTTGGTGGTGGAAGCCTGCCTGTGCCTGAATTCTGCCTCCCAACCCCTGTGTGATCAGCAGCATCGTACTATGACTCTCACTGACAGTGCATCCTGATACTAAGTCAATCTTCCACACCCCTTTTGTCCCCTACACTCTCTCAAACTAAAACCCTGGGTGTTTTCTTACCTACAAGGAAGAGGTTAGGAGACTGGTGGGTGCTCCAGGGCTCACACGGTGGGCATTTCTCCTGTTTGGCACCAGCTTTTCCTGGCAGCAAATTGAGAAGTGTGGTGTCAGTAGACAGGTCACAAGGGGTGTCCTGCTGGGCCCATGCCTCCCATCAGGTAGCTCCAAACTGCTTCATGCCTTTAGGAGCAGTGGTCACTAACTTGTTTACACCTTCATTTGTTCCCCTTTGTAGGGGAGGAGCTGCAGAGCAAAATCTCTCACTTCTTAATGCTTTCTCTTGCTGAAAGTTGACTGATTGTTTTCAGTGTTTGTGGAAGAGGGAATAAAGCAAATAAACTGGTCTTCAGTACTATGCGTGATGTCCCTTGTCTGCCTCTGCTGGGTTCACCCACATAGCACTGCTGCTTTGTCTACAGTACCCTGACCTCTTGACTTGGCCAGCTGGGGCATGCACCAACACTCCTGGCTGGTGGCAGTGCAGAGGCTGCTGCATAAAGCAGTCTGGAAAGCACTTTGCACAAAGGCAGCAGGTATCAGGGCAGCAGTGCTGTCCCTGCTTTGCCAAGGAGCCTCAGTGGGGAAAAGGAAGGAGATGTCTGCTTTGGAGATGTCAAATTGGATTTAGAGGTAGCTACCCTGCTCCTTAGGGCACAGTGCAATCCCTGTAAACTTCCTGCACCCCAACACCAAAACCTCAGAGATTTCTCTGACACTTACCTCTAAATCCTTGGGACTGTGAAGTAGGAAGGTTTGTGATTTGCTTTCCAGGCACGTTCCGCTGCTCCGCCTCACAGCCCCGCTGCCCAGGGGATGCTTCATGCAGGCCCAAACTCGTCAAGCGATGAACCATGTTCAGTGTAATGCTAGGAAAGAAACCCGCTCACTGAATAGCACACAGGCTGCCTGCCCGTAGGCATCTCTCACTGTCCACACAGTCAGCAACACTTGGAACCAGCAGCTACTAAGGAAGCTGGCTGGCACAGGGCACAAATGTCCTGCAGAGCCAGCAAGGACTAGCAGTTGCACTGCCACAACCCTGTGCAATGCAATGAGATACCCTCCAGCATCCTGCAGGGATGCAGACTGGATGTTCCCCAACACCGTTCCAAGCTCTCAGCTCTTCCCAGCACCCAATGCAGGCCACGCCAACCCAGAAGACATCCCTCCCCAGACACGGCTGTCTTTCAGGCTGAGAACTCTTCATTAATACGTTGCTGTCAGCAACTATTCAGTGATTATTGGTATTCTTTCCAAATGTTTCAATTGCTCCTTTTCCTCAACTCCTGGTTGTGGAAATTTAAGTGAACCTTTGTTAAAAAATTCTCAACTATCCCCATTCATTATTTCTACTGAGGAAAAATAACACCGTCCGATCTCTGTGTGGAATCTTATTCTCCATCTCTCACTGCAGGAACTGGGAGTGGGACTGCAGTTTCCAAGTGGGAACACCCCCTGTCTGTGCATTTTTTCAGCCTGACAAAGTTTGACAGATTCCCAAGTTCCCCACCATCTGCAAGAGCTCCCAGGTTCCATGCAGTACTCTGGCACACAGCCCTCACCCTGACCTGATTTCCCCAGGGAGAAAGGGCAGCCTGCACCCCTCCACCCCTTGCAAACATCCCGGCCTGCTGCCCAGAAAAGCCAGACTTAAGCAGACAGAACAGTTTGGTTCCAGTACAGATTGAATGTTCTTTTAATCCCAGAGAAGTGAAACGCAACATTTGTTCGAGTTTGCAATAACATCCAAAGACAGAAGTCCAAGCCCCCTACTCCGTAAAGTCATTTGTGTTTAAGGCACTCTGCAAAACCAGCTTTCATCTTCTCTTCCTTCCGATTTTCTCCACACAACAGCAGAATACCTGATTTTGTCTTTTCTCCGTAGTGACACCCACACGTCCTTGCTCTTATCACCATCTCCAGAAATTGGCAACATCAAGTACAGCGTGAGCCAAACAGAAAAACACCAGGAGGCCGGGCCAATAAATACATACGGGCACGGGAGGGAGTGCAGCGCCTGAGGGGGAGGAGGAGGCTTCGAGGTCCTGCAGGAAGAGGCCAGGCACAGGATGTCCTCCCTGCAGGCACTGATGTGATTCCTCTTCCCCAGTTCTCCCTCCCTCCCTCCCAAAAGGGGATAGGATGGGAGCGGGTGCCCACGAGCATCCCTCCCCATCGGCGTTCCCGAAATGTGCAGGGGAGACCCAGCCACCCCTGCCGCGCAGCAGAAATGACCCCCGAGTTCCAGCTGTCAATAAATACAAATAAATAACTTAAATACATCTTAAATAAATAAATAAGAAATAAATAAGAAATAAATAAGTGAGCCGAGCACGCGAGCAAGCAGCCGCGTCCGCATGGGTGCCGAGGACAAGGGTGGCACTTGTGGCACCCACTCCGGCTTCACCCGCCTGCCCCGCAGGCGTTTCCCAGCACCCGCAGCAACGCTCTGAACCCAGAGAGATTGATGGGTGCTTCCCAAAGTGCTGTGCCCAAGTGGTATGTGGGCACAGCCATGAAGCCACAGGACGGAGCAGAAGGGGCACCTCAGGATGAGGGGGAAGCACGACCTGTCCCTCCCTGAGATAACGAGGTGCCGGCTACAAGCAGGGATGGGGATGGAGTGCTGGAGGGGCTAGCGTCCCATGGGGTGGTTTTACAGCTGAGCTCAGGAGGCCAGGTGCTCCTCCCAGAGCCAGCACTGGGGCTCCCAATTGGGGCCCTCAGAAAGAAGGGCAGCCAAGCTGCAAGCAACCTCACACTTGAACATGCAAGCAGATCCTTAGAGGGGCTGATCACTCCCTACACACTGAGGAGATGCAGCCAATCCTCTGCCTCTCTCCCTCTGTGCTTCAATGCCACACAGCCCTTTGCTGCATCATTTCCTTGGGCTCAACTGCCCTCCAGTCCCTGCAAAGGGGTTTCACAAGAGCTTTTGGGATTGTTTCTGTCCTAGCAGGTCAACAATACACACCTGTCTTATTTCACACTGAAAGGTATGTCCCCTTCTTCCTCCTCCCCCACATTTTGATGCAAATTGTATTGAAAGTTTCTAACAGCTTTTCCACACACACTTTTGATAAACATAACATCAGCAATAGCTAAAATTGCCTTTGATCATGTGTCCATACAAAAACACTGGCTGAATCTCACAAAAACAAGGTGCCCAGTGCTCACCATCTCCTTGCAGAAACTCTGCTCAGAAAAGCAAAGCAGACCAGAGCTCAGAGCCTGCTCTCCCTCCAGGCTTTTCTCATGGCAAGGACTCACCCAGTCCTCAGCTAACCCAAAGCAGTTGCTTCCTAGGCCACCAAACCACTCTGTCTGCACCAGGCCGAGCAGGAGGAGCAGAACCACAGCCCACAGCACATCAAAGTGTTCACCAGGGCGTTGGTGTGCAATGCTCCCAGAGGAAAAAAAATTAAGAACTGAATAAGCAGCAAAGCCTAATGAGAGTAATAAATAGCATGGGGATTTCACAGGGATTTTTGGTCTAAGACACCCTTTGTCTTAAAGTCCCTTTGCTCATGGGGAGCAGCTCCCAGATGCCAGAGGTGTGCGTCTCGCCCTGGAAAAGCATGAGCTGCACCTGAAGCTTTGCAGGGGTTTGTGAGTACTTCAGAGAGCAATGCTGTGGGAGGCTCTGCCCCAAGGCGTGCACATGGAGAAAAAAGGCTCCTCTGCAGCAGGGGGAGCAGGTTTTGCACACTGGGGGAAGCAAAGAAGTCCTGAGCTGGGCTGCCTGACACCCAGGTTCAAGGAAGTGCTCCTGATGCTGCAAAAAAGGCTTTGACAAGAGTAGCCAGTGAGACGGCTCCCAGGCTCTCCCAGCAGCACGGGGAATGCAGGAAGCTCCAAGCAGAAATACCTCACATCCCCACAGCAGCAGAAACCTTCATTGCACAAAGGCAGGGGCACAAGCTGGAGGTATGGCAGCATGAAACAGAGCAGGGAAAGCAGCAAAAGCCATATTCATCTGCCCGGGACCCTGCAGCAACACAGGGCACCTGAAACTGTCCTTGGGTGGGGACAAAGCCACTGTGGCTTCTGCTGCTGCTGCAACCAGGAAGGTGCAACCAGCAGAGCTCAGCTGAAAGAAGGGAAAAGTTGCTCCCCTGCTACAACAAGCAGGGAATTGTACACTGCAGCCCACAGCACCAGCACCTCCCCACAGACCAGAGAGATGCCAGCAATCCAGGCAGTGAAGGGCACAGGGTGGAGAAAAAGGCAACCTGCCAGACACCTGCAACAGCACGAGCAACTTGCACATGCACACACGCTGCACTGCTCCATGGGTGGCTGAGGATCAAACCTCCCACACCAGCAGGCATTTGGGTGGAAGATGAACAAGCACACAACCTCTTGCTATGCACTCATGTCTGCAGTGGAAGCATCAAAATCCTGGAGTACCTCCAAGCTTTTCTGGATACCACGCAAACACCATCAGTAGCTGCCTGCTCTCCTTCGCCTCTGTGAAAAGGCATCGCTTGTGATTTCTCTTCTGATTGAGAATAATTCTTGCTCCAGCAAAAGAAATGGCTGGCGGGGATGGGGGGAACTGCAAAGATTTAGTGCACCATAAAACTGAAGGATATCTAACCTGCCCTCAGGTCTCACTCCTAGACAGGAATGAACTATGTCATCGCCTACATTCACAACCACTCCAAACACACCGAGATGCATGCATAATGTCCTGCTTCCAGTCAGCTGCAGAAAGCCCCTCTCAGGCAGAGATGACTGCTGCCACTGGGCTCTGACTGGGCACCAGCTCCCACACTGCTCCCAGGCCCTTCCAAGTCCCAGACAGCATGGCAACATGCTGATTATCCATCTGAAATGCATAGGTAGAGACATCGAGGGGAAGGGTGACTGCACAACCCCCCATGTCTGGCAGGCATGGGCTCTTCTACTACAGCTAATGGGGTGGAAAGCAGCATTTGACACAGGCACGGTTTTATCATGCTCCTGCTCCTCACACTTTCCTGCAAGGAGGCGGGAGATGGTTGGATAAAACAGCCTTTTCTCCAGCCACAAGCCCTAGAAGCACTTAAATCCACTTCCTGGGACCAGCTTGGCAATTCTCTCCACAGCCAGGCCTAGCTCATGCTCTCTTTCCAACTGTGGAACTTCCAACCACAGCTACAAAGGCAGGCGAACTCAAGAGGTCTGCTTTGGCTCAGGAATCCCACTCATTTGCACCACACCAACAGCACCAAGGTCCCCACGTGCACGCACCAGTGCGTGCCCCGGTGCTGTGCTACTTGGGAGGTATAACAACTATAGGCTGGCCTCGCTTGGGTCTCCACATGAGGACTTGGGCATCGTTGGCATTGGGTTTCACTAGTGCATTTGGTGGGATGGGCTCCATCCTGCTTAAGATCCGGGGCTGCTCCTGCTGAGTCCTTCCCACCAGTCGTGCCCGCTGCCCCAGGAGCTGCATGGGATCAACCTCAATGTCCACTCGCATCCGCCACTTTATAGTCTGCAAGATGATCTTTTCCTTGGTAGTGGTGTTCATGGCTACCAGCCACGTGGTAAAGCTCTGGTCCCTTTTAATCCTGGTCAGCAACGGCACATTACTGTTGCTCACAGGGACAGCCCACGTCACGCTGGGGTAGAAATTGTCATTCATGCTCACCGAGAACCTGGAGATCTTGTTTGTGGGCCCAACCAGGGTCACAGTTTCTGTGGTGTTTCCATACCAGGGGTAGCTCACTCCATCAGAATCACTGATGGCTTTTACTCTTCCTTCTCGCAAGTCGGGCAGCTCCCAGCTTGACCTGGTGAACAGAGACAGAAAGGGCAGGTTACTGGGGAAACGGCAACAGCAGTGCTTGAGCAGTGCCTGCAGTGGAAGGAACATAGCAAGCTGCTGTGTGCTGGCATGTGCAGGGTAAAGCACTTGCTGTAGAGCAGAAGGAAAAAGTACAGGTAAAAGGATAACAATTCTATCTGAAACCCCACTGAAAAAGCCATTCCTTCCAGAGCCACTGGCAGCTCCATACCAGCCAAAGCTGTTCACCAGTGTCTGTCTCTGGCATCACCCATCGGGTCCTCCCTCTGGGAACACTAACTCAAGAACAGAGCTTGGGAAACACCTTCCCACCTGCAGGAAGCCCCTGATGACCTCATTCAAGAACAAATTCAGCTTTAGCTCCTTCACTGAGTCAGTCAAGGCCAGCAGGAGCCTCTGCTCTGCCAACACAACAGCATTTTAATTAACCTGCAATCTAACCAAGTGGGCCCATACTCATTTCTGAGTGACTCTCAGGTCACTCTCTCCTTAATCTCATTAATGACGAGAAAAAAATAACAGCCTTCCCTGCATGTCAGCTGCAGCATGGCCACAACCTGCACCAAGCCTCAAGCAGCTTCCCCCAGCCTACAGCTCAGTCTGCAATTTTTACACCCCTAAATATAGACATTTGCTAAGACGCAGGTGCAGTAATTAAATACCACAATCATGCCTGCTGCTGGTGTGACGAAATCCCTGACATATTGTTAGAGTTGTGGGTGGGGGGGAATTCCAGCCAAAATCTTGGCTGCAAACCACGTTAGCAACACCAGGCAGATGCAGCGATGGAGAAGATCACCACGTGGTAATTATCAGCAGGGAGCGGGGACAGTGGCCACCCAGCTCAGCAAGACCCAGCCCAGCTCACACAGATCTTTCCTGAAATCCTAAGAACAAAAAAAGCAGAAATTCTTTGGATGCTGAATCTGCATTTTCAATTTAAAACGCAGACAGAGGAGGCTGTGCTAGGTCTCCATCCTGAGGCACATCAGGTTCCCAGTATGTGAGTATCTGAAAAAAACTGGCTGTACCACTGCTGGATATCAAAGGAAGGAGAACAAAACAGAAACCTTGAAAGTCCTCAGGCATATTGCTCCAGTTGAAGCCTCCTGCTGAGCTCAGATGCACACAGATCTGGGCTCTGAAGCTGCCAACAAGCAGCAGGAAGCATCTGGTTTCCATCCTTCCCAAGATGCAATGATCTGCACTCACTCTGACCCTCCTGGGCACCCCCACCAGTGTTGCACACAACAACACCGCCTGCTCTGAAAGTAAGGAGGATGGGGTCATCCCCAGCATCCCCTGCCTGTGCCCAGCCCCACACTAACTCCACTAGCCCAATGGCTGGTTTGGGGCAATACTGAAGGCAGCTCATCTGTGGCCTCCAGGTCCCTCTGCCCTTGAGGAAGGGCAGGAAACTGGAGGAAATTGATCCCGACACAGCACCGCAGCCTCTGGCACCCACAAGAAAACCCAAGCAGGGTTCTACTTTCAGGAAGGGCAGCCAGGATAGGGCAGGCAAACTCAGCAGCTTGAGGCAAACCCGAGGCTGGTGCCAGCTGCTCCTGCTCCCCAGCAGGATCAGGGCTGGGAGAGCTGCTCCAGCCCAGCACTACAGCAGCAAGAACAGCCCTGCAGGCGAGGGCAGGCAGCGCCATCTCTCCTGTCAGGAAGCCACGGCAGCCCAGAGCTGTGTGAAGTGCCACCTACTTCCATGCCTAGGATTGCCAGGGCAGCCTCCATCTGCTCCCTCCTTTGGAAATGCAAGCAGACTGACTCCAATAGTGACAGCACATCTTCCAGCATGGGGTTGAGGAGAGAGGGTGCTTTTCTAGATCTGGAAAGTGATGGAAGGGAGCAACTCCTGTGCCTGCACTCCTACACACCAAGGCTCACACTAAGGGCGGAAAGGACAGCACATGCTGTGCTGGAAGGGATGTCCAGAGCCCACACTTTCTGAGGCTGGAAATCCTCATTTCCAGCAAGGGCTGCTCTGCTGTTCCTCATTTCTGGGCATGTGGGAACAGACGAATGGGTAAATCCCAGGCAGCAGCAGGAGGGCTCTCAGAGCTTAACACCAAGCACTACATGCGGTGCCACGTAGATTCCCCTATTTCTGCCCTCAGAGAAATAGGATCCTGCTGTTCCCAGAAGCGATCAAGAAAAATCAGGTTGACGGGACGAGTGCAGTGACAAACCTGGCTGTGAGCACAGCACCAACCAGCAGTCTTTGGTGCGGATGGAACCCACGGTTCAGCCAGCAGCCTCTGCACCTGCACAGCCCAGCACCAGGCTGACCCTGCTTCCTCAGCAGCCGCTGCACACGGCAGAAACCACAGCAGCACAGCCAATTGCATTGCTCTCTGGTGTCCTCCTGGGCCATGCATGTGGAATCTTCAAGCAACATCATTCATGTCACCATGCTGGTGCCTCTATCACCTCACAAAAATGCAGTAGTGCCTCCAACCCATCACAGACCCATCCCAGGGCCCCAGTCTAATCCCAAAGCCATACCAGGGCCCCATCTCCTCACATAATGATACTGGGGCAACCGTCTCCTCACAGAACCACACCGGGGCCCGTATTGTGTCATGGGCTCCAGCACCTCACCTAACTGCACCAGGGCATCCATTCCCTCATGTAACCATGTAGGACCCACGTTTGTTTACATAAGTGCACGAGGTCCTCCAGCTGCTCACGCTTCTGCCCCCTCAACGAACCACATGACGACCCCTATCTGTTCACATAACCACACTAAGACCTCCATCCCCTCACATAGCCGTTCCATAACCACCATTGTGCCACGTAACCGCACTGGGGACTCCATCCCTTCGTGGGGTTACACGGGAACCTCGAACCGTTCACACAGCTGCACCAGGACCTCCACCCCTCACACACCCAGCTCAGGACCGCCATTCCCGCACATAAGGACATCCGCTCCCTCCCCGCACACCCTCCCCTGCCACCCCTCAGGTGCGCCGCAGTGCCGCCCGCTGCCGCCCGCTGCCGCCCCCTGCCCGCTGCCGCCCGCCCTCCCGCTCCCGCCGCTCACACGCCGAGGTCGCTGTAGGTGTTGTAGAACTCCATGTGGTTGCAGGCCTGGATCCAGCCCACCACCCAGGTGTGGCGCCGGGCGATGGGCGGCATGAGGACGCGCGCCGAGGCGCGGAAATAGGGCGTGCGGTACCGCAGCACCACCGGCGAGCTCTCCTCGATGGCAGTGGCCGCCGGCTCGATGGTGGCCGACACGTCGGACACCACGATGTGCTCCCGCCGCACCCGCGCCTTGCAGGCCACGCTCTGCAGGCAGCCCATGGCCGCCGCCCCGCCGCCTCCGCCGCGCTCACCCTCCTCCGCGACGCGGGGGCCAGGCGGAGGCCCGGCGTCCCCTCGCCGCCCGCCCCACCATCGCCGCCCGCGCACCGGCGCCCGCACCGGCGCCGGCAGGGCGAACGCGCCGCCGCTTCTCTTGCGGCCCTCGCCGGCCACCGTCCGCCGGCTCGGGGCGGGGCAGGGAGGAACGGGAGGGATCCTCCGACCAGCAGGGGGCGCCGCAGCCCCGCGCTTCGTCCTGGCGTCCGTGTTCCCTAGCAACCGAGAGGCGGCGGAAGCGGAAGTTCGGCAGCCCGGCGGCGGGCGGAACGGAGCTCCGCCGCGGGGCCAGGCGGCGCGGGTACCGGGACGGCTGGGCCGCAGGAGGCGGGGTTACAGCGGGGTCCGCCTGCGGCGAGCCTCCTGGCGGTGGGTGACCCGCGTTGGCCTTTCCGGGCCCAGCCCAACGCCATGCCCAGTCCCCGCGGCGGCCGCGAGCGCCGCAGCGCTCGCCCCGAGTTCGCGTCCCTGCTGAACCAGCGCGGCCCCGGGGTCCCGGACAGCCCGTCCCGCCGCCGCGAGTCGGCTGGCTCCGCGCCCCCGCCGCTGCCCGAGGAGGACTGCATGCGGCTGAACCCGTCCTTCGTGGGCATCGCCCTCAGCTCTCTGCTCGCCGTCGACCTCTGGGCCTCCAAGCGCCTGGGTGTGTGCGCCGGAGAGGCCTCGGCTTGGGGCAGCGCCCGCCCGCTGCTGAAGGTGGTTGAGGTGTCAGGGCACGGCATCCCCTGGCTGCTGGGCACCTTCTACGGGCTCTGCCAGAGCGACAGCTCGGCCGCCAGGGAGGTGCTGCTCAACCTGTTCTTCGGTGAGGCCGGGAAGGGGCTCCCCGGGCGGGAGGACGGGTCCGAGGGAAGGGGAGAACAGAGAGAACCCGAATGATCTGAGCCTTCGCAGCCCCAGGGAGCCACGTGGGGCTGTTGTGGCTGCCAAGAGCTGCGGCATCTCAACAGTTTACTCAAGCACGCAGACATCAGCGCCTGCAGGCTCGCTGCAGGCAGTACCTGCTTGTGCTGATCTGTATCAGCCAGTGTGGAAACCTGGTTCAAAGCACGCACTGTAATTATGCGTGGTGTAATGTTTTTTTTCCCCTGGCGTCCTGCTGGGTAGATGTAGATTCAACATTTTTGCTTGCCTAGAAACTGCAGTAGCTTCAGAACAACAGACCTCTTCTGAACCCGTCCTTACTCCGTGAGATACCAAGGTGTCTTGTGTGCATTGTTTGAATCTAAATGTTTGATGGGGAATGCAAGTTTTCATGCATATTGTTTACTTTGCACTGTGTGGTCAGATCACTGTCCCTGGAGAACTGGTGGGAGGCCCTTGGTGGCCTCCAACCACTGCTCTGCTCAGAGTAGCACTATCATGGCACCAGGACCACCCTCTGGGAAAGGAGCCCTACCTGATATCCAGATGCAATAAAAAGAAAGGATTGAAAAGAGCTTAGTTGTTTTAAGAAAAAAAAAAACAACCCTCATACAAATCAAACAAACATTTGTCCTTAAATGATTAAAACCCTCACACAAATCAAATAAACATTCATTCCTAAATGATTAACCAAAGAGAACAAACTGAAGTAGCTAAAGGACTTTGTGCCCAGCAACAAAGGTTACAACAAGCAGATATCAATCTCTCAGACATGGCTTCCTAGAAAGAAGCAGCCACAGCAGCCAACACTGGAAGCTAGCTAAATGGGACAGAGAAGACACCGCTGGCTGCCCTTGTCAGACAGCAGTTGACTTCTCACTGGTACTTCTGACTTCTATCACAATAGCACTCTGGGAGAAAGCTGGTGCTAAGCCATCTTGTCAAGTCTTAAAAGCCAAAGCCTGGTTACCTTTTACACACTGGTGCCCTCAGCAGCAGGGAGAAGCCAGGTGAGGAGCTGTGAGCCCTCAGACTGCTGAGGAGTGCCTGGACCCCCTTTGCACTGAGCCACAGCTGAGCACCAGAAGCAAACTGATCATTTACTAGGGTCAGTGCACTTTGTGCAAAGTGATGATGAATCAGCATGGACTGGCAGGGAATATTAACCCCTTGGATGGCTTCAAATTAGGGAAGGATTTGTGCTGAGTCACAAAGAACGGATTTCACACAGGAAGAAAAGCCCAGCCTAGAGTGCTGACAGATGTGCTCGTGCACAAATCTAGGGCCTGGATGAGTGCTATGCTCTCCTTGCCTAGATCTGCAGCCGTGGGAAACACCAACTTCTCTTAGCAGCTTTGGTAGCTATGCATTTTCATACATAATGGCTTTGCATTGTTTCTCATCTCCCATGGGACAAAACACTTCCATTTTTGCTCACTTGTTGTTATTGTCTCCTAGCACTGGTGCTGGATCTCGTGCTGGTGGCAGTGGTGAAAGGGATCGTCAGACGGCCACGGCCTACCCACAACAAGATGGACATGTTCGTCACCGTCTCAGTGGACAAGTACTCCTTCCCATCAGGCCATGCCACCAGAGCTGCCCTGGTCTGCCGCTTCGTTCTGCACCACCTGGTGCTTGCCATCCCACTGCGGGTCCTCGTGGTGCTCTGGGTTCTCGTCGTTGGCATTTCAAGGGTCATGCTGGGCAGGCACAATGTGACGGATGTGCTCTTCGGCTTGTTCCTGGGCTACGTGCTGTACAGCGTGGTGGAGTACTGCTGGCTCTCCCCGCTGAACGCGCCTGCCCTCTTTGCACTCTGGAGCCATTGATGGCTGCACCCCTCCCAAAGGAGAGGGCATACACCCTGTTCTCTAAGTGCACATGGAGAGGGGTTATGCTGCGACTCCTATCCGTCCAGCCAACACTTAACACTAGTGGTGCTGCAGGCTCCCAGGCCTGCAGTTAGACACTTGGTGCTGTCTTGCCCTGCTGACGGGCAGTGAGGCAGAGCGTGCGCTGGTCAAGCAGCTGCATTGACTACTCTCCAGTGACAAACCGGTCCCTGCAGAGCCTGGGAAGAGGTCAGCACATCCATCCGGCAGCTCACTGCTGATACTGTGAATCAGCATGCCCTTGCTGGGCACCTGCTGTATTAGCCTATGGTGTATGTGGTAGCTGGGGCTTTGCAGAGGTTTCTCCGCAATTACCCGTGTATCTGTGTGCTATAAATACACTGATCATGTTGCTGTTGTGAGTGCACTTTCTGCAGTCTCCTCCGTAATACCCATCTAGGGGGGGACTCATCAAGATCTGTTCTCATGTTTATAAAGAGTTCTGCCTTCTAAGTAATGTCTCTTCCCTTTTTTGTGTGATTTAAACACTACCCTAAGACCAGATCTCAACCAGCAAGGTCACATGTATCTGGCTGGCAGTACTGTGGGGAAGGAATGAGGTGGCCAAGGGTTTGGTCCATCCATTCCCTCTCCAAGAGGTGGGGAAGCAGCTCCCAGCAGCAGCTTGCATCTAAAGCCGCTGTGCATAGCTTTACAATTCTTTTCCCTCCCGCAAGCTTTTCCATTGCCCAGAGGTGACAGCTTGCCCCATGGCACCCATATAGGATGCAATAAGTGCAGCAGAATGCATGGCATTGGGCATGTACTGAGCAAGTCAGGGGCAGAGTCCAGGTCTTGAGGACTTTTGGCCCCTTTTCCCACTGCCAAGGGCAGTGCAATGGCAAGCTGTGCAGCAGTTTCACAGCACAGCTGGAAACCAGCAACCTTAGTGTAATCAGGGCTGGGCTGATCCCAGGGGAGGCAAAAGTCCAAGGGAGTGATTGATTGTACTGCATGCATGACACAGGGCTGGGCTGCCCCTCACCCCCTCACCAGCCCCAGATACCCCAATAGCGTTCCCTCTCAAGGTGTCCCCTCGCAGGGCTCCCTGGTTGAGCACTGGGACAGCTCCTGGCGCAAGCCGCTGATGGAAGAGCGAAGCGCCGGAACGTGCCGCGCGCTGGCTTCCTGCCCCAAGGACCCCGTGGGAGGAGTGACGGCGGGGGTGGGTACGCTGTTCTCCGCCATACGCCATAAATCCAGGCTGCGCTGGTCGCGGCAAAGCATCGGAGGGCAGCATGGCGAGGCGGGTGGCCATCATCGGTGGGGGCAGCAGTGGGCTGTGCGCCATCAAAGCCTGCCTGGATGAAGGGCTGGAGCCCGTCTGCTTCGAGAGAAGCGGGGACATCGGGGGGCTATGGAGGTTTGAGGTAAGCCGTGCCGGCTGCAGGCTCTGTGTTGTAGCTGTCACCAGGGGAAAGCGGCCATGGTGGGATTGTGGAGCAAGGGCTGAACACACATCTGCCCCCCATCCCAGCGGGTCCTGGGGATCCTCGCTGGCAGCAGAACTCCCCCAGCCCTATTGCAAGGCAGTGACCTGCCATGGGGCAGGCCATCAGGATTCTGAGCCCCATGCCTGCAGGAGAAGCCTGAGGAGGGCCGCGCCAGCATCTACCGCTCCGTCATCATCAACACTTCCAAGGAGATGATGTGCTTCAGCGACTTCCCCATCCCCGACGACTTCCCCAACTACATGCACCACTCCAAGATCATGGAGTACTTCCGCATGTACGCGCGGCGCTTCGACCTGCTCCGCCACATCCGCTTCAGGGTGAGCGCCGGGGCCAGGGGGCAGCACGGGGACGGGGCCACAGGGACGCTGACATCTGCTCCCCCCACCCAGACCAGCGTGCGCCGCGTGGCCAAGCGCCCTGACTTCGCCACCACGGGCCGCTGGGAGGTGGAGACCGAGAGCGAGGGCAAGCAGGAGTCAGCCATCTTCGATGCCGTGATGGTGTGCACCGGGCACCATTGTGAAGCACACCTCCCGCTGCACACCTTCCCTGGTATGCTGCCGTGTGCCCCTGCCATGAAAGAGCCCAGGAAGCTCTGATGTTTCTTCTCTTTGCTTTTCTTCCCAGTCCCATGCGTTTCCCTGCTGAGTTCAACCCCCTGATGGGTCTGGCAGAGCTCCTCAAAGATCTTGCTTCATTCTTCGGAGGTGGCCCTCCAGCCCAGGCTGGGGAAGCGCAGCATTCCTCCTCCCTCCCCACAGGCATTGAGAAGTTCAAGGGCCGCTATCTCCACAGCCGTGACTACAAGGAACCCCAGGAGTTCATGGACAAGAGGGTCGTTGTCATTGGGATTGGGAATTCAGGGTCAGACCTGGCCGTGGAGATCAGCCAAGCGGCCAAGCAGGTGAGCAGCAGCAGGAGGGGGGCATCCTAAGGACACCCCCATGCCAAGGTGTCTCCTCAGGACTGTCCTTGGTGTCCCCGTGACTATCACACCAATAAGGAAACAACTTGCTTCCTCACCCAGGTCTTCCTCAGCACCCGCCGAGGTGCATGGGTCTTGAACCGCGTAGGACAGCAGGGCTACCCCATAGACACCATCATCACCACTCGCATGAAGATAATCTTGAAGTATCTGCTGACCGCCTCTGTAGCAAGCGACTACACAGAGAAGCAGCTGAACATGAGATTTGACCACATAAACTACGGCCTGAAGCCAAATCACAGGTGCCAGCAAACACATGCTCCGACCATGTCTATTTCTGGGGCTAAGCATCCTCAGAGCAGGATGCTGCACAGACACCTCAGTACCCTGATGGCTCCTTCTGTCCTCCAGGGTCCTCGACCAGCACCCAACTATCAATGACGACCTGCCCAACCGCATCATTTCGGGCAGGGTGCTGGTGAAGCCGAACGTCAAGCAGTTCACAGAAACATCTGCCATTTTTGAAGATGGCACTAAGGAAGACATAGATGCTGTAGTCTTTGCCACTGGGTACAGCTTCTCCTTCCCCTTCCTTGAGGGCTACGTGAAGGTGGTGGAGAACCAGGTCTCTCTCTACAAGTATGTGTTCCCTGTTGACCTGGAGAAGCCAACACTGGCTTTCATTGGCTACATCCAGCCTCTGGGAGCCATCATGCCCATCGCAGAGATGCAGAGTCGCTGGGCCACCCGTGTCTTCAAGGGTAAGTGAGACAAACTGTCCCCTGAGACTGCAGCTCTGGAACCGGGTCAGATGGTGTCCAGCCATCTGCCTCCTATGCCTTTGGTACTGCAGCCCCCTCACACAGCGCTCTTCTCCCCAGGGCTGAACAAACTGCCACCCAGGCACAACATGGAAGCTGACATCAAGCACAAGAAAGAGGAGATGGCCAAGCGGTAAGGCCCCACCAGGACCCAACTGGGATGGGGCAGCAGCCTGTGAGGGCTTCTGGTGGGTCTCATGGCCATGTCCCACCAGAAAGCAGGGTCCAGCCCGCTGTTCCTGCCCACAGGTACGTGGCCAGCCGGCGGCACACCATCCAGGTGGATTACATTCCCTACATGGACGAGCTCGCCAGCCAGCTGGGTGCCAAGCCCAACCTGCTGTTGCTCTTCCTCACTGACCCCAAGCTGGCAGTGGAGGTGCTGCTGGGGCCCTGCACGCCCTACCAGTACCGCCTGCGTGGCCCAGGTGCATGGCAGGGTGCCCGGGCGGCCATCCTGTCCCAGCACCAGCGCATTGTTCAACCCCTGCAGACACGGCATGTGGAGAAGCACACCTCCACCATGCCATTCCTCCTCAAGCTGGCTGGGGCCCTGGCAGTCTTCGCTGTCATCTTTACCTACCTGTAGGCTGCTGCACTCTGCCTGGTGGGGTTGGTAATGCTTGGGGGGCTACACAATCCCACAGCAGTCATGCCCCTCACATCAGGGAACTCTCCGCTTGTTGGCACAGCCCCACACAATGAGTGTACTGCACCAGACCCTCCCAGGTGGGGCAGACCCAAAAAGTACCCTGTGGCAACCCTGGGATGAAGGAAAAACCCTTTCTCATGTGGAGGAATGCCCTGTCCTGTTTAGGTATTGCCGTTGGCTGAGCATAGGCCCTTCTGTCATCTGTAATTCCAACCTGCATCCACTGATTACATTCATATGGTTTCTACACAGCAAAGATATAGCAAAGTTTCTAATCAGATTAAAGTGTTTTCAACAGAACCAGGTGTCTGTCCTGTTACTCACATTCCCCTGTGTGCTGAGAATACACATGGGATGGGGTCTGCATGCATGCACACACATGCATACATCTGCAGCAAAGCAGTCTTGCCTGCGGTACATGCAGCTGGAACAGATCCCGGAGATCACATCAGCAAGATCATTCCCATCCCTGTAACACATACGTAGCCCCCCAGAGGACAGCAATTGGGGACATGCGTTGGGGCCTGGAGCGGTGCCAGCTGTTCCAGGCTGCCTTGCACCAAGGCTGGCACTCATGCCTGGAGCATGCCCTCTGTTTTGTTTTTCACATAGTGACGCTAAAATTTGGAGTATGGCCACATCTCAGCCCCCACACCCAGGAAGTTGCTGGGGCAGGCTTCAGCATCATTACGTGCTTAGAGGAAATAATGAGCCCTTTGCGAAGGGCGGGCAGGAACCTGTAGATCATGTCTAGATGAAACATCTCGTGATGCCTCAGTTGACCTGAGCCATCCACGCTGAGAAACAGGGACACCCAGCACAGCTGAGCGACACCAACCGCGTCCCTCCCGCGCCACTCACCAGAATCAGTGAGCTCCTGTGTGCCCAACGGCACAGCCTCCCCTGCCACCACTGCTGTCTCTGCTGCCAGACATGGCTGCCCAGAGAGTAGCCATCATCGGTGCTGGTGCCTCCGGCTTGTGCGCCCTGAAATGCTGCCTGGACGAAGGGCTGACCCCCACCTGCTTCGAGAGGAGTGGGGACATCGGGGGGCTGTGGCGGTTCGAGGTAAGCACCATGCTGTACCGAGCTGCCCTAGGCAGCAGCACAGACAGGATCGCTTACTGGCAGCTAATGAAGCACTGCTGGGAGACCCCCTTGGCGCAGACTGGGATGCTGGCAGTGCAGGACTGGTCCTGCCCAAGAAGCCGCTGCTGGGGCTAGCGGTCAGCCGAGGCTTGCTTTCCTGCCTCGGGGTGAATGTTTCCCATCCCTTCCTTCCCAGCCCGTCCTGATCCCATCCATACCTCCCATTGGTCCCACCTGCCCTCCTCCCCCACCCCTGCAGCTGCCCCACTGCCGCTGGCATTACCTTCCTATCCTTCCCAGCCCCTTTTTTCTATCAAAGTCCTGCCTGCTCCTCATCCTTTACCTCTCCTACCTCCTACACATAGGCACAGGTTGCTGCCTTTGTTCTCCCTGCCAAGGGAAAGCCCCAGAGCTTGTTTCTGCATTCACCAAGCGAGGCCACCCTCTCTTCTTCCCAAGAAGAGCCAACCTGACATGCTCTGCTGCCCTGCCCAGCCTTGCAGTGAGCAGGATAGCTGGGAAATGCTAAACAGTGCTAGCATGGGGTTTGGAGCTGCCTGGCTAACACAATGGTGGCTTTGCCCATTGATGGAGCAGAGTTAATGCATGAGAGCCACAGGCTGAGCTGCTGGGGCAGATACCAGAGCTGAGCTGAGCTGACACAACGGCTCAGTCTTGTGGGACTGATGGGATAGTCATAGCACAGGTAGGTTTGGGACCGCCACACGTTCCCCTTGCCACCACTGAGCCATGTCCCATGCCTGCAGGAGAAGCCTGAGGAGGGCCGCGCCAGCATCTACCGCTCCGTCATCATCAACACTTCCAAGGAGATGATGTGCTTCAGCGACTTCCCCATCCCCGACGACTTCCCCAACTACATGCACCACTCCAAGATCATGGAGTACTTCCGCATGTACGCGCGGCGCTTCGACCTGCTCCGCCACATCCGCTTCAGGGTGAGCGCCGGGGCCAGGGGGCAGCACGGGGACGGGGCCACAGGGACGCTGACATCTGCTCCCCCCACCCAGACCAGCGTGCGCCGCGTGGCCAAGCGCCCTGACTTCGCCACCACGGGCCGCTGGGAGGTGGAGACCGAGAGCGAGGGCAAGCAGGAGTCAGCCATCTTCGATGCCGTGATGGTGTGCACCGGGCACCATTGTGAAGCACACCTCCCGCTGCACGCCTTCCCTGGTATACTGCCATATTCCCCTGCTCCAGGAATCCTCTTCCCCAAGACTCTTCACAGCCCTGTCCCTTCTGGCTGAGCCCTGATCCCCACCTGTGGTTGCTCCCTTCATGTCAAAAACCTCAAAGCCAAGCAGGGTGCTGAAGGTGATACCAATCATCTCCCAGGCTGGAGATGCCACCACCTCCCTGGGCACCATCCCTAGGCAGTTCCCACTGGACTCAGCCTGCTCCCAGAGCACATACCTAGCCCAAGAAAAGGACAGCCACCCCTACTCTCTCTTGCAGGACTAGACAAGTTTGAAGGCTGGTACCTGCACAGCCGGGACTACAAGAGCCCGCACGCCTTTGCGGAGAAGCGGGTCATTGTGGTCGGCACCGGGAACTCGGGCATCGACATCGCAGTGGAGCTGAGCCACGCAGCCAAGCAGGTGATGTCCCAAGACAACCAGGCTCAGCATGCCTCTGCTCCTTGCTCCCAGCCTGTTTTTACTCCCAGACCATGCAGGTCTGTCTGAGTTTGGGCCAGCACTGCAGTTCAGATTAAATGTCCCTTCTCACTTCTACCAGGTGTTTCTCAGCACCAAGCGTGGGACATGGGTGATGCACCGCGTGGCAGAAGGTGGGTACCCCTTTGACTTCTCCTACCTCAGCCGCTTCACCCAGCTCCTCCAAAGCATGCTGCCCCTCTCTGTGAGCAACTTCATGGTGGAGAGGAAACTCAACATGCGCTTTGACCATGCTCTCTATGGTCTGAAGCCGAAACACCGGTGAGTGTTTGTGGCAGCATTACGGGGACCTGCCTGCATCTGGCCCTGCATGAACTCTGTTTGTTCTCGGCAGGGTCTTCAACCAGCACTTGACCATCAACGATGACCTGCCCAACCGCATCATTTCGGGCAGGGTGCGGGTGAAGCCGAACATCAAGCAGTTCACAGAAACATCTGCCATTTTTGAGGATGGCACTAAGGAAGACATAGATGCTGTAGTCTTTGCCACTGGGTACAGCTTCTCCTTCCCCTTCCTTGAGGATTCTGTGAAGGTGATGGAGAATCAGGTCCCGCTCTACAAGTTTATGTTCCCAGCTGACTTGGAGAAGCCGACGTTGGCTTTCATTGGCTACATCCAGCCTCTGGGAGCCATCATGCCCATCTCAGAGATGCAGAGTCGCTGGGCTACCCGTGTCTTCAAGGGTAAGTGAGGTGGGCAGGGAATTTATTTCCTTGCCTGTGCCTCTCTCTTGCCCATGTTTCTTTGCCCAAAGGCTTTCCTGCGCCACAGAGGCCATGCTGGGTGCAGAGGGGCATGTTTGCTGAGAGCAGAGCTCTCTCTCCTTCTCCTTCTTCCGTAGGTCTGCACAAGCTGCCACCAGCCAGCACCATGCTGGCTGACATCGCACAAACCAAGGACAAAATAGCCAAGCGGTAAGGGCCCTGTGGGTCACTAACCCTGCCACCACCTCCTCAATGCACACACACTGAGCCAGCCCGCTGTCCCTGCCCACAGGTATGTGGCCAGCCGGCGGCACACCATCCAGGTGGATTACATTCCCTACATGGACGAGCTCGCCAGCCAGCTGGGTGCCAAGCCCAACCTGCTGATGCTCTTCCTCACTGATCCCAGGCTGGCAGTGGAGGTGCTGCTGGGGCCCTGCACGCCCTACCAGTACCGCCTGCGTGGCCCAGGTGCATGGCAGGGTGCCCGGGCGGCCATCCTGTCCCAGCACCAGCGCGTTGACCAGCCCCTGCGAGGCACGGCCAGGCACCCAGTGCCACGCTGCAGCTCTGTGCCACACATCTTCAAGGTCTTCTTCAGCCTCGGACTGATCGTGGCCACGCTCATCTACGTCTCACTGTCCCCTTAGCCCCAGTGAAGGGGGCTGCTGGACATCGCCTTCCTTTCCTTGGGGTGTCAGTGCTATTGGGAAGGGCTCAAAAAGCTCTGCTGGATGCGGGGTGGCATGGGGAATTCTCTCCCCGAGGAAAAAGGCAATAAAGTTCGTCCCCGTTCCCCGGGGCGAAGGGTCAGGCTCTGGTCCGTCCTCACGAACCTCTGCACCCCGCACACATCGCACAAGACAGACGTACTCGCACCACCCACAGCAAAGATGGCCGCCCCTCCCGGAAGTCACACCGCCCTCAAACAAAATGGCCGCTCAGTACCATAGAGAGCAGCGCGGGGGCGGGCCAGAGCGCCCCGCAGAGGCTGGCGGTGGCGGCGGCCGCCATTTTGATCGGAGGCGGAGAGCGGGGCGGCGGCGGGCAGGTGGGGCTGCGACCGAGGCTGGGCCGTGGGGCTGCGCTGCCACCGTGTGCGCTGGGGTCGGGGCGGCGGCTGTGTGTCGCGGCTAGGTAGGCCGCGGAGGGGACGGGAGCGGACGGGCGTCTGCAGGGGGGGTGGGGCTGGCAGGGTGCTGCCGGGGTGGCGTTGCAGCGGGTGACACTGGTTGATGGCGCTGCCATGGGTGTAGTACGGTTGGTGGCACTGCAGCGGGTGACGGTACAGTTGGTGACACTGTGATGGGTGGCACTGGGTTGGATGATGCTGCAGTGGGTGACAGCTGCCCTGACCCTGCAGGCTTGGCCATCCCCAGCTCAGGCTGCAGCTGGGGACACTGAGGGCTTAAGAAATACTTCAGTAATTGCCCCATAATTGTCCAAAGCCAGGCTTTGGCTGGCGGCCTCACCTGGAACTCATAACACATAACTTGATCTTCTGAACAAATCCCTAAATGTCACAACAAAGTGGATGAAGCAAGACCAGCTGTCCTCCCGCCATCCCTGCAAAACAAAGCTGGGCAGGGGGCAAGAGCCGCAGCCCACCTTGGTTGCTGACATCTGCCTGGAGCCTGACAGCTCCATGTAACCCACGGTAGATTTGTTGTTTGGTCCAGGAGGCCAGGTGCAACACAGCCAGCTCCCCCTGCCTGGCTTTCTGCAAGCAGGATGGCATAGCAGCGGTCTCATCCCGATGTATAGCCCAATGCTGGACAGACATGCAGCCCTGGAGTCGGGCGTGACGAGCACACCTCCTTGCTGTGCTGTTGCTGAGCCTTCTGCACACACTGCACGGTACTCCTTGCCTTGGCCACGCTCCAGCCTGGGCGATTCCACTCGGCTACTTTCAGCACTGTTGCCTCTGCCAGCCATGAAGCTCTGCTCCTCTGCCCGCAGGCTCAGGGAAACTTGTTGGGAGCTGTTAAGCAGCTGCTACTTTCACTCTCCGGCTGTTTTCTTGCTGTATGTAGCGTTTTTTTTCTGTGCAGGCTGTGGGATTTTGAAAGAGGCTCTGTTCGTGCCAAGCGACAATTTGCCGCTGAAGGGTGGCTTTATTTTTCTCATCAGCCCCTCTACTTGTGTAGGATGCAGTCTAACTCATGTTTGTTTTAGGGTATAACAATTACCAGCTTAACTATCACGATGGCTCATAAGGGTATGCCTATAATTAGTTCAAGCTGTCTTGCTTGTTAAATTCCCCTTTGGCTCCCAAACTTGGCATTGGGAATGAACTTTGGGCCTTTTTTAGGATTGCTGTCACTCTGTCCTGGCAAAAGGCAGTGGGAAGCAGTACCCTCACTCCCTCTTCACTGCTGGAGCCCATGGGTGTAGACACACTGCTGCCTTCTCCTTCTCACAGGGGCTGCTGAGCTGTCATGGGAAACACCACCAGTGAGCGAGTGTCTGGTGAGCGACATGGCTCCAAGTCCCACCGCTCTGACAGCTCTGGAGGTGCCCATCACACAAAGGAGCACCCACACAAGATCATGGTGGGCAGCACAGATGACCCCAGTGTTTTCAGCTCCCACGACTCCAAGGTAGGGGCTGGCTGCTGCCTTTGTTGTCCTCACATTGGGTGCTGGGTGGTGTTCCAGAGGGGCCGTGCGGCTGTGCTGGGCTGAGGCTGCTTTCAAGGAGAGGATTTTTGGTGAGAGGGCTGTAGCACCTGGTAAAGAGCAGCGCTGTGTTTAATTCAAACTAAACGGGCAGGGTATCAGGGTGCTGGGGTACTGCTTTCATAGCAAGAGCCAGCCTGAGCTGCAATACAAGAGAAGCATCTCTTGGGATGTGTGAGCGGAGCTGCTTGCCTAGCCTGAGGTTGCTGTTGTCTGGGATGTGCAAATGGAGGTGATGGCAAATGAAACGGCTCTGGTGTTCTCTGCTCAGATTCCTGGGGACAAGGAGTTTGTTTCATGGCAGCCGGACCTGGAAGAGTCAGTGAAGCCATCCCAGCAGGCTCGCCCCACTGTCATCCGCTGGGCTGATGGGGGCAAAGAGGTCTTCATCTCTGGATCTTTCAACAACTGGAGCACCAAGATCCCACTCATCAAGAGGTAGCTAGCCCCTTGGGTCAGCCCATATTCTCCATCCATCACAGGGAGCATTTCTCTCAGAGCCATTTGCTGTTCCTTTTACCCACCTGGCTTCTCACAGTTCATCATGCCCAAGCTAGAGGTGTGAACACAAATATGCAGTCAGCATCCTGCCTGGGTGATGCTGCAGTGGTGGGGAGAAATTGTGAAACAGGGGACAGGACAGGATGGGCCTCCTTGCTTTCCCAATTGCATGCCACACAGCAGTCATTCTGGCAGCAGAGCCCTGCCCAGGTATGCTGCAGTTTTCTGAAGCTTGGTGGCCTATCTCCTTGTCTACATTGCTGCTAGAGGGAGTTTAGTTGTTCCTCACATGTCTTCCTCCCATAGTAATGTTCTCGTTGTTCTGCTGCACACCTGTGTTTTCTGTGGAAACATTGTGTAGGACTGGGCATAATCCCAGGAAATACCTAGAATGGGATTATCTCAATTGCAGACTTCAGAGGCACTTCCTGCTTCCATCCTGCAGTACCAGCACAGGTTTAGATTTGTTGTCCACTCGCCCTGTCCAGTGTGTCTTGCACATGACATCTGTCATGCCAGCTTCCCCAGAGCATGCGGGGCAGGGCTGCAAGCTGAGCTCCAGTTCACCTTGTGCCCTGATTGGACCAGATGATCTTAGTGTTTTTTTCCAACCCTAATGAGTCTATGATTTTATGGACCCTGAGGGATCTGAGTCATACTTAGGCTCTGGACACTCACACCTGCTCTGGCCATGCCTTGAATGATGAGCAGTCCTAACCCAGTACGTGGATGTTTGGGTCAAGGGGGCAGGCAGTGCATGACAAAGTGCTGTTCTCTGGGACCCCATGGAGAGGCAGCATCCAAAGCATCACTGCAGTAATGGTGTTGTACATCTGTTTTCTCTGCACAGCCACAATGACTTTGTCGCTATCCTAGACCTCCCAGAAGGAGAGCACCAGTACAAATTTTTTGTGGATGGCCAGTGGGTCCATGACCCATCCGAGGTAACTCTCAAAGCTTTATCACTGCAAATCTTGTCCTCTTTGGGGCCCAAAACGTGATGTAAACATAGCAGAAGAGAAGTATGAAGAGCAGAGGATATCTGCCAATGCAAAAGGGGAACCTCCATCTCATGAATCCACTCAGAGGCTGGTTCTTTTGGGCTTAGATATGCTGTGTGGGGACCAGCTGTATGAGGGAATATGGGGGAATGTCAGGGATGTATTGGGTGGCAGTGAGATCCCAGTAAGCTTTAAATGCACATTCTGAATTGGAAAGACAAGCCAGCATTCACTGCAGGTTCTTCTCCCAGCTGCATCACACAGGAGCAGCATGGGAAGGAGATGATGCTTACCCACCGGCATGCAGCAGGAAAGATGAAAGTAGGAGGTAATAGGAGCCTGGGAGTAAGGGGAAAACTCCCAGTGCAAGCAGCAGAGATCTGCAAATGCTAAAGCTAAACTCTTGCCACCTATGCTCTGCGGTAATGGCATAACAGTGGCAGCTCAGGCTGGGACAAGCTCAGAAGCACGAGTATGCTTCAACTGAGGCTGTATGTAGGAAGCTTCTTACCTTAGTTCTTTCCAGCCCGTGGTCACCAGCCAGATGGGGACGATTAACAATCTGATTCATGTCAAGAAGTCTGACTTTGAGGTGTTCGACGCTTTAAAAGTGGATTCCCTGGAGAGCTCAGAAACCTCAGGTCGGGGTGAGTTTTTGTGGCATTACAGCTTTGCATGTGCTATTTTCCATCTCCTACTCTGAGACTCACTGCTATGGGGACAAACAGCTCCCCTTATAGGTGTGGGCCCATAAACACAGAGAGATTAATGTTTGGCAGCACGTACTGCCCATGTCCTCAGCAGCTTCTAGCTGAGACATTGTCTCCAAGGAGGCTGTGCTGTGTAATCTGTTCTGTGTTAGCATGGTCCCAGAGCAGGGCTGGTGCCTTCCTGCAGCTGAGATGGCCATTACAGACCAGTGAACACAGGGAACATCTCTCCTTTCTGTCTGCTAAACTGTGAGTAAGTCATCTGATCTGGGGTAGAAGCTAAGTGGATCTAAAAAGCTAAGTAAGGATCCAGGCTATTTTCAGCAGCTGCTCTTGGTTTTCACACCAAGGCTATTTGTACAATTGCTAGCACATCAGAAACCTCTCTCCACTCATGTTACATCAGCAGGTTGAGTTACCACATGGATGCTGGCAGTGCTGGCTTGGTAAGTGGTGCTGGCAGGTAGTCCAGTCATGTTTCAGTCCAGGGTGCTCTGAGTGCAGCCTGCCCTCCATGCTCTAAGTCCTATCTCAGGTACAGCCTCAGTTCCAGGCCGTTGCCTAGTCCAAAAAGAAGCCATCAAACAGCATCTCCAAGGAGGTGGACCCTTCAGGGTGCTGGCTGTTCCAAAATGGGCAGTTCAGATGTGGCTGGCAGATGCAATCTGTCCAGCTTACAGACCACAAGCTCCTGAGATCCCTCACACAGGCTGAGCACCTCATAAATCTGGACTTCCCCTTCTGGGCCCTCTGAGTCAGGCAGTTGTGCAGATGTGCTGCTTGCTGTGCCCCTGCATCCTTGTGTCCGCTGCAATTGTGGCAGGCTGCTTGGAACAGGCAGGGGTACTCAGTAGTGCTGGGAGTTGTGTGCAGAAGTCTTGGGGTGGATACCACGGGGTGCCTGTGTTGTGTCTATGCATGTGCCACCTTACAGGCATTCTTGGATATGCCCACAGCTTGCCTGGCTGCTTATTCTGCTGTGAAAAGTCTGATCTGTTACTATACGATACATGGCTAAGGGAAAACTGAGGTCCGAAGACCTTTCTGAAACAGAACAAGCCACCTTCTGTTCCCTAGATGCTGTGGCTTCTAAACATGATGAGCCTGTACTGCTGCCCTACTACATGCTGACCCAGTCTTCTCAGTACTAGTTGCAGGCTGGGCTCATGGAATCCTTCAACGTCTGAAAGACCCTGCTGGGTTCTTCTCAGCATCCTTGGAGCTGATCTGTGATTTAGCCATCTTATACCACCTCCTGTCTCTTTCCTTTAGACTTATCAAGTTCCCCACCCGGACCTTATGGCCAAGAGATGTATGTGTACCGGCCTGAGGAACGCTTCAAATCCCCTCCCATCCTCCCGCCTCACCTCCTCCAGGTCATCCTCAACAAGGACACCAATATCTCGGTGGGTACCAGCACACGGCTGCATACAGAGAGCAACGTAGAGGCCAGAAGGGGAGTCCTGTCTGCAAGAAGCCTGCTCAGCCCTTAGCTGGTGCCTGGCCCTTGCTCTTTGCTGGAAAGAGCATCGATTTTCTCATTAACCACTCTTCCTAGTGCTGAGCCAAACTCTGTTCGTGTTCTGAACAGCCACCCAGCAGCTCAGATTGTCTGAGATGGCAGCTCTTTGCTTCTCATGCTGGGGGGTCAGGGTTCTGCTGTTCTCCTCTGATGCTTCTCTTGTCCTAGTGCGACCCGGCCCTACTGCCCGAACCCAACCACGTCATGCTCAATCACCTCTACGCACTCTCCATCAAGGTAAGGGCAGACCCCAGCAACCACAGACTGGGGAAGGGGGAGCAACTGTGGCTCCCAGAGGCCTGCAGGTCATAGAACCTGGACAGCCGTGGGGTGGTGATGGTGGCACAGAGGTCCAAGGAGTCACCTGGGGATTGCTTGGCTGCCTTTATAAATGTGGCATGTGCAGGGGTGTGGGTGGTGGTGACCTTCTTACAGCCCCCAGTTCCCTGTAGCTGCCTTCTCACAGCATGGTGGGGCTGGGCAGCCTGGTGCTCTTCTGTCACAAACCAGCTCCCTCCCTTGCTCTTCCCCGGCTCCCTGTCATGGGTGGTGGGTGGTTCTTGCTGGCTGTGCCAGTCCCCCAAGCCCATAGAACAGCAAGGGCCTCTTCTCCCAGCTGCCTGGGGGTACCCTGCAGCACTGAGCTCCCCAACCCCTGCAGCTGGTGCTTTGCCTCTCACAGGACGGCGTAATGGTGCTCAGTGCCACACACCGCTACAAGAAGAAGTACGTCACCACGCTGCTGTACAAACCTATCTGAGCCGGGGCTTTGCCCACCCCCCACGCAGGACACGAAATGCCACTTTGTCTGCACATGCTGGGCCACAGGACTGTGTGAGGACTGGCTGCTGGATCCAGCCTCCAACCCGGGGGGGGGTGCAGCCCCCAGTGATGAGTGCAGGCCTGCTGGGGCCATCCTGCTGTCCCATTATACTGGTGTGGTTTGATTTAACCCTTGGTTTCCGCCCACCTGCAGCTCCCCTTGGCTTCAGTGAGTCCCTGGGGCTGCTTTGCTGCTCACGGAACAGCCTTTCCTCACTCCTGACATGGAAAGGGCTTCACTGCCCCTCTGCTCTAGACTGTGATGGCCCTGAGGCTGTCCTGGCACTGTCTGCAGGCTAGCAGCAAAGTGTCCTTTTGCTGCGCTGGTAATAAGCCTCCAAGACCACGTCCCTGGAAGGTTGGGGAGCCTTAGCCTGCCGCTGTCCCCTGTCCCTTAGCCCTGTCTGTCCTGTTCCTTGTACTCCCCAGCTTCAAGGAGAGCTCTTGGCCACAGCTCTCTACCACGTTCAGTGCTGAGTCAGCAGGAAGGAGGGCACAGCTGGATGCACCATGCTTACCTGCTGCCAGGACAGCACCATCAAGGACTGAACATCTGCCCCATCACCACCATCGGGTGCTTCTGGTGGGCCTGGGGAGAGCGGAGCAAGGCAGATACCCCAGGACCCCAGCTACGCCATCTGCTGCTGTAGCAGTGCCATGTGACAGGGTTTTCTCTATTTATTACAGTATTTATTGTTCTCTGTGCTGCAGGCCTGGTGTTGGAGGGGTGCTTGGGAACAGCGAGACCATTGTGCCACAGTGCACCCCTGGGAAGTTCAGCACGGAGCTGCTCCCTGGGACAGCCGCTAGGTCCCTAGGAGGCTACAGGAGGGGGCACAGCAGGGATAGGTGTGCTGCAAACACTGGGACCCAAAGGAAACCTTTATTGGGGACCCTCAGGCCACTGAACAGAACGTGTCATTTCTTACATCTTTCTCCCATGCTGGAGCCTTAACGTGCCCAGGGAGGGCCCAGAAACACAGCTCCAATATCTATACCTCTCTCTGTATATATATATATACATACATCCATGAGCGGGGGTGGGTATGCAGCAAGGTTACACATGAGACTGAGTCCCAGGGCAAGAGGTACTTGGGCTGGAGGGCCATGGCACCCCACTCTGAGCACAGTGGGAGGAAGGGGGCAAGCAGTGAAGCATGGGGCAGGCAAAGCCCAAGCCAGCTGCTGCAATACCAAGAAAAGGCAGGTGAAGAGGGCACGATTGCCACAGGTCCCCAGACCCACTAACTGCAGTGCCTGGGGCAGCGCTGGGCACCCCTGAACCCTGTCCACTCCAGCCTTCCAGCGTGGGCCATTGTGTGGCCAGGGACATTGCTCCCATTGTTCAGCCCGAGGCTCACGCAACAGGCAGGGCTTGCTGGGCCTTCACCTGGTGAGAGAGCATGCACAGCAGTGAGGGCTTGGCTGGAACTGTTGTTCTCCAGGGACAGGGATGCAAAGAGTGAGGGCAGCCCGCAGGACTCACATCAATGCATCCTGGGCTCACCTCACACTCTGTTGACTGCCATCTGAGCCCAGCCCCAGATGAGGCCCAGAAACGTTCACCAGGACAAGGGCATACAGCCCTGTCCAGGGCAAACTCACCTCCAGGTTTGTCCTGGCCTTGTGCAGCACATTGTGAGTCCTGGTCACTGTGAGGGATAGAGATACAGAGTCAGTGAGGTTCTTGTGCCACAGGGTGACCCCAGGTACAAGGGTACCAGGGGACCAGCGCAGCTGTGCCACATACACTGGCTGACTATGAACTGCTCCATGCTGTCCTTGAGCTGGGCCATGCTGTGGAGCTGCTTGGCTGTGCTCTGCAGAGCATCCTCCCTCTTGGAGAGCTGGGCACGCAGTGCCATGATCTCACTCTGTAACGCCTGCTCCTGGGATAAGACATGCTGTGAGCAGTGAGCATCTGGCCTGCTCACCTTCCTGGCTCCCAATGGTGCTCACCTTGCCCTGGTGCTGAGCAGGGCCAACAGGCAGCACGGTGCTCCAGAAGGTGGTGAGGAGTGAGACACACTCCTCCAGGACACGGTGCAGGGTGCTGGCACTGCCCCAGAGATGCCCTGCACCTACACATCCCGGGACCTGTGGGAAAAAGGTGCGGGAGCAGGTGCTGCTGAAGCACCTCCGTCCCCCTCCCCTGCTATGGGGACTGTGCTGCAAGGATCCAGCCCTAAATCACCCAATCAGCACCTGCACCTGGTAGCAGCCTGGTATGCCCACAGCCACGGAACAGATGGAGTAAGTGGCAGATCCCTGCTTACTGCAGGCCCCCAGCCCATCCTGCCCGCCCTGTACCTCCTTTCCTGCGCTGGACGGCCCGAGTGCTGGGCGTGTCAGGCATGTCAACTCGTGGGCCAGCGCCTTCCCCTCCAGGATGCGTTGCTCCAAGGAACGGTAGGTGTCCAGGCACCCAACAACATGAGCCCCCACCGGTCCCTTGTTCTTCTTCACTGGAAGGTTGGCCCTACACGGCTCTGTAGGGAAAGCAGGACTGGTGAGGCGCACTGCTTCCTTCCCCTTGTAGCTCTGTCCTGAGCTCAGCAAGGGTGTCGTGAGTATCTCAGTCTCAGGAGCACTCATGCAGGAGGGCTCAGGTACCTACCCACTGTATGCTGGGGCATGAAAGTGTCAGAGTGTGGTGAAGAAAAGGGAGCTGCTGAGCTGGTGCCAACATCCCGCACGGGAGGAGATGGGAAGCAGCCTGGAACAAGATCCAACTGAGCCCTGCAGATGGCTGTGGCTGCTGGGGACTTCCCTTCCTCTCTGCATCCCAAGGCCAGGAGCAGGGCTGCCGAGCTGGGCACAGTGCTGATACCTGCACGGGGCTCAGTGGCAGGGCTGGGAAGGCTCTCGTAGACATGCAGCTCCGTGCGCAGGGCCTGCAGGAGCAGGCGGTGCTCCTCACACTGCTGCTGCAGGAGCGTCACTGTGTGCTGCAGCCTGCACAGAGGTGACGTGTAGGTCCAGAGCCAGCCACAATGCTCAGCCCTGCCATCCCCAGACCTCACCTGTTGTTGTCCTCCTGCAGAGAGAGCCTCTCATCCCGCAGCTGCCGGATGCTCTCCTGGTGCTTGGTGAGCTCCTCTGCCAGCCTCCGGTGCTCCCCACGCCGCTGGCCCAGCTCAGCCTCTGCCTCCCGCACTCGTGAGCAAGCAGCCAGGAGGGCCTCCTGCACCCGTGCCAGCTCTAGGGAGATGGAGACATCAGTGTCACCCTGCTCAGCAATTCCCCTCTAAGACACAGGTGGCCCAGCCCTACCTCGAGAGAACTGGTCACACTGCAGCCGCAGGGTCTGGTTGTCCTCACGCAGTGCCCGGTTCTCTCCGCTCAGCTGCAGCCCCAGCTCTGGCCCTTGAGCATAGATGTCGCTGGGCAAACCTGTGGAGAGGGACAAGTGCTGAGCCCCTTTCCCCAGCACCAAGACATGCAGGAGGTGAGCACCCAGGGAGCATGGCACCCAGTGACCCCATGCAGTGTTGTACCACTGGCTTTACTGGTGGAGGCCAGGCGGCGTTCAAGCTGCTCCCTGAGCCGGTCATTGGTGCAGATGGACTCCTCCAGGCGCTGGCGCAGGCTGCGGATCTCCACCAGGTGTTCCTCCAGCAGTTCTGCCCCTGCACATCCACAGACATGTCTTCATGACAGCCACATTGCCCACCCCACACCATGCCCACCACCTGCCTCCCCCTGCCCTGAACCTTCTGGGGCTGAGTCTCCTCAGCAGTGATGCCCCCAGGCTCCCAACACATCTCATACCTGTTAGCTTCTGGCTGTTTGAGCACCCTGATGGCGGTGCCCCATAAAGCTGGCTAGCAGCTGGCATGTCCCAGAGGACAGGGGGCTTGGATAAGCTCTGCAGAGCCCCGTGCTGGCACACTGATGCTGCTGGCTTGTTGCCCACTCCAAAGGGGCCCAGCGAGGCTGTGGGCTTTGCTGTTGGCAGCGTCACATCTGCATACACAGGACAAAGTGGTGAGGAAAAAGAGAACAAAGGGCAGAAAGGAAGAATTGGGATGACAAACCCTCTCGCCACATGCTTCTTGCTGTGCCCATCAGTGCAGCCCACTGTCTCCCATTCACCCCGAGGAACCGAGGTTCTCCCAGTGTGTGCTGACTGCATGACATAAGCTGGGAAGCCTCAGCCCTTCTTCTACTCAATGGCTACCCAAAGCAGCCTTTTCCAAGGGGTGTTCATTCCACCCACCCTTTCTTCTGTACAAGAGGATCCACATGTCCCTATCATCCCCTTGCAAGAGCACTGGGACTTGGGGAGGAGAAAGGCCAGGGAAGGACATTCAGGCTGGGAGCCAGGGGCCACACAGTACAATGTAGCAGGGCAGGCGGGACCATGCCCCACGCCAGGGGTGCACGCTCACTTTCTCCCAGCTGCCTCTGGAGCACTTGCAGCTCCTGTTGTGCCTTGACCAGGGAGCAAGCATGGGTCCCGCAGCAGCCCAAGGGCACAGGGTGACCAATGGGCAGGAAGGAGTGAGTGGGTGCCTGTGCTGGCAGAGGGGCGCTGTTGGGTTTGGACAAAGAGTCAAAGTGGAGGCCTGGAGACAGGAGAGAGATGAAGAGAGGTGTTAGCGTTGGGCTCTGTGCTGCAGCCATGCGCTGCAGAGGGGCTGCATGCCCCCAGCTCCTGGTACCTGAGAGTCGGGCGGGCTCCTCGGGGCACTGGCTGCACTCGCTAGCTGCTTCCCCATCAGAGCAGGGCTCCAGAACATCGGACACAAAGGAGGTGCTGGTAGCAGAGCGGGACGACTCAGAAGGTGGGTGACTGCTGCCTGGTGACTCACATCGCTCCTGCAACTTCGCCTCCAGTCTCTCAATCACCTTCTCCTTTTCCTGGAGCTCCCGGCTGAGCCTGCAGAGACAGCCCATCAGCGAGGCTAGTGACCCTGCACAGCTGTTTCCTGCTGTGCCTTGTCCACCATAGCATCACACTGTAGTGCAGGGCCACAAGATGCCAAGTCCAGGAGAGCAGTGGCATCCCCAGCACAGCCACCCAGAGCACTACGGAACCCCATCCCAAAAGCAGCGATGACCCCCAGGGTGTCCCTCTGGAAGAGGGTGTACCTCAGTGCCAGGAGCTCATGGCTAGATTTATCCTCCCCATCCTGTCGATCCCCTGAAAAAAAACACAAGAGCAATCAAAGAGGAACCACTTAGTGTCCTTTCAGAACCAACAGAACAGCCCACAGCAGGGCAGGTAGCCCCCATGTCCAAACGGTTCCAGCTCACAGCAGCACCCATCAGATCATCCCTTCCCATTCCTCATGCCCCCACACCACCCAGTGCCCCCCAAGGCACTTACTGGTGCCCAGCTTATCACTGAGCCTCTCGGCCAGCTGCCTGCCCTGGGCCAGCTGCTCCCGGAAGCCCTGGCCCAGGTAGTAGTCAATGTCGGTGCCGCGAAGGAGCTCCTCAAAGGAGCGCAGGGCATCGTGCAGGTGTTGGGCCAGGCTGCGGCTCACTCCACGGCCCTCACGCAGCGTTTGCCGCAGGTGGGAGAGCTCCCGGGCCTGGGCTTGGATCAGCGAGTTGTATTTCCTGTAGGGTTGGGAAGGAAGGGGTCCCCAGAGCTGCCTACATTAAATAGCATGGACAGGTGCCATGGACGTGTGCACACCATCCAGCCCTGGGGCTCTGCAAGCAACCACTTCAGGCAACCCCTGCAACCT